AAAAAAAACAACCAAGAAACTCCACTCTTGCCAAAACCTGCACAAGACACACATCATGTTACAGCCAGCACAGCATTCCCACAAAATGCAACAGAAAACACAAAATGCTTGTAAAGTACCTATTCATGTGACAGTGGAGCTGCACCTAAAATTCAGTGCAACATTAAGATGACTGGAAATCAGTGATTTGATAGTGTGAGCTGCAAAGAGATCCCTTCATGGCCTCCGAAGTACTGCATCCTAGCAAGCTCAAGAGCCGGAGAGCTTCATTTCATGCAGCAGTCATTGAGCACAGAAGAGATTACTACAGCTGGCTGAACACAAATCATCTTGTACATCAATTTACACCCACAGGAGAATATATAGGATATTAATTTACTGGTATGACTTTTACCAGTCCCAAAGGTTTCTTAGGTGGTATTGGGTTTTTTGGGGGGGTTTGTTTGTTGTCTGTTTTTTTGGTTTTTTGTTGTTTTTTTTTTAGTGGGAGTGGGTTTGGTTGTTTTTTTTTTTAAGAGTGTAGGAAAAGGAAGCTACTCAAAGTGGTGTGAGAATGAATGACACAGAGCAACCTCTGGTTTCAACTCTGCAACCTCTGCCTCCCCAGATGTGCAAGTACACAGCTCTTTTTCACCCAGCCACCACCTCAACTAGGCAAAGCAAAGCAAGGCAAAAATGAAGCCTTTCAGGCAGGCAAGCCATCTGCTATACACCTCTGCTGCATAAGATATCAAAATGGCAGTAACAATGTTCCTCTTCTGATGAGAGCTATCCGCTGCTTCTGGTTTCATGGTTTCAACTTTGCTAGCCTAAGATATAAACTCAGGCCCTGGAAGAAGAGGTAGGTAACATAATCAGCAGCCCTCAGAAGCTGAGATGCTCTTAGTTACAGCTCTTGCTCTAGCTGCTTCTGAGATGTTATTTCCCATAGATGTAAAAGGCATCTGAAACAGTCACAGGAAGCTAAGGTTCAAAAGAATGAGCAATAACTTCATATCATTGCCATTTCAGTGTTAGCTGCTTCCAGTGATACCACCTCCAGCCCTCCCCACTCCCAAAAATCCAACAAAAAAAAACCCCACCCCTCTATCATCTGGGTACTTCATCATGTACTGAAGCAAACTGTTACTCCCTCACAAAAATCACAGAGAATTCATTAGTCTATTCCCTCACCCGCCTACCATTTCTCACACTAAATGGAGAATATTTGTGATCTTAAGCAATCATGTTTCTAAGGCAGAGAGTGAAAATCTGCTATTAGAATAGTCCATCACCACAGGCTTTCCTTCCTTCCTCCTACCCGCCCACCCACAAGCTTCAAGTGAAACAGTTGTAGCTCACTGGGAACAGAGAAAAGCACCTCACATGCAGCAAAATCGAGCTCAATCCTGCGGAAGTTCCTTCTTGGGCCAGGTGCACATGGATGAAAACCACTTGGTACATATATGTTTGCACCCGAGCCAATCTTGCTCTGTTACTGGGACAAACTGAACCACCCTGATTAGAGAAACATCAACGAAATTTGTTAAAAGACTATTATTTCAGAAGTTAAGAGGTCTGAGAGTCAAAGCATACTAAAATTCTCCAGAAGAGAAAACAATGACCTGCCTCTAGGTGAGGCCACCCAGCTGCAATTCTGTGGAAAGAAGTGGATGCTGTTGAAGGAATTAGCAATTAAGAAAGCAAGACACTTGCATGTATTCAGTTATGGAAATGTTATTTTAACCTCTTCAAAGTGTCCCCTCTGTGCTCAGACTATTATTTATTCCCCTTCAGCTCTGAAAGACTTACAGCTCTCTAGATTACCCCTCCTGCAGATGAGGAGGGATGGGAAGTAAAGCACTGCAGCCACCAATGCCATGCTGCTGTAGGTTGTATGAAAAGGACAGACATGCCATGCTAACTTGAAGATACAGGTTTTACATCCTCTTCACCAAAGCAGACAACTAATTACCTTGACTTGCCTTACTTACATGTGCTACATCTTGGCAACATTCTCATCTCCTAAAAAGGATGACACCCAATATTCAAGTCTCAGGATCTGGACAAAGCAAATCTTTCTTCTGCTATCTTGCTAATAACACAACCCCCCGTACAATAAACCTACCCTGATTTATTCCACAATATATCTAAAGTCTCAACTAGAAAGAAAGTTAGAGGACATTGCACTCACAACAGGAAAACTTGCCCACCTAATTTTCCAAATGAACTGAGACTCCAGATCCAACCAACTATTAGTCATTTGGCTAGCAAGCAAGACTGAACTTACATTAATGAACACCAGACTGCATTAAAATGTAGTTTAAGTTTAGCAATATGCCAGAATAATCCAAGGAAGGAGGGAATGGACAGGATTGAAACTTCAGACTGTTATTTCTTGCTTAACACCACTAAATTAAAAAACAATACTGCAGGATAGTTTGAGACAAACCCTAATGTCCTTGAAGGCAGGATGTGTTAGACCCATCAGCCCAGTGCTGCCAGGCATATCACTAATCCTGCAGGACTGGGGAGGACAGGGACAAGACACTTTCCTCAGCAGAGGCAGAATTTACATCACCTCCTCCTCTGCTCTTGACTTCCTATTCCCTCATGCCCAAACCATCTTCTTACGTAGATGGGACTGGTACCAACTTTGAATTTATTATAGCGAGGAAGCCTGCCAGAGCTACTAAAGCTACTTGCTTCTGTCATTAAGAATGACCATGCAGTAAATAGGAACATATTTACAGTATTTCATTTTAAGCATCGTATCCTAGATTATTTGCAAGGCCGCAGATGACTCCAGTAAGCTTGGCCAAAGTCCAAATCATACCAGCCTTCGGTAGAAAGCTAAAAAAAAATACAAAGGATCCAATATGTGAAACTAGCCACACACCATGGAAGAGCAATTTTTCCATTCTTGAACCTCACCTCAGCAATGCTTCTTGAAGTTCTTGTGCAATAATCAGTGTGAAAATAGTATATAAAGCTCTTGGACAAAAGAAGTTTTCCTCCCAGGTGCTTTGTATAACGTAAACTTTTGACGAATTTATTACACAGTTGCACTTACCACAAGGAAGAGGAAGGAAAACTGGTACCGCACAGCTGAGAGAGACTCCTTCTTCTGTATGAATGACCTGCGATTTAGGTACATTTTGTGTACGAGATGTAGAAATTTCACCTTCATGGCAACTCAGAAAATATTCATGAAGCTCACTTGCCACATTACTTAAACTGGATTAATACCCTTTTCCTTTTAAATGCACTAGGTAGGGAGACCATCCAAAAGAAAAACAAAAAAATCGCATTACTTGTACATTCAAAAATAACAGCTGTCTTTTGGTTTGGTAGCACATTTCTCATAAACATCCCTATGGTTATTCTTCTATCAAAAAGGCAGCTACAAGCACCTAACCTTCAAAGTATTTAACGGAATTAAGCATGAATTTTAAAATTTAATAAAAATCAAGTATCTTTCCCTTGTAACTCCCCTTCCCAGAAATCAGCCTTAAGTACTAACTTGTTACTCCTTCAATGCAGACAACTATCATTGCATGCATATGTAAACAACAGCTCCTTCCAACCTTCTTCCCAACTCCTTCATAGCAACTTAAGCATTTAATACATATTCCTTTAAAGAAATTTGAGTGAATTTATTGTATAAAATTATGATTGGCATGGTACAGAAAAATTCCTTTTAATGCACATTTCCCATTAACTTGTACACAAATATTACAAGTATCAAGCAAAATGCAAAAGTCTTAAGAACTAATTCCATACTACAAAAGTGTTCACATAGTGAAGTTACTCTGGTTACAAAATGTGATGGAAATAAAAGCACTTCAAAATACATAATTGGGAAATGTTCTCAAATAATCAACACAACCTTAAGTTAGTTAAAAAATGCAAAGAAAGAGATACCCTCTTCGAAATACTGTTGATTTGGCAAGACGGAGCAAAGTTCAGATCAGTTCATTTACTGAAGGATTGTTCTTTCCAAGAAACAAACAAACAAAAAAGAAAAAAAACAACCAACCTTCCAACCTTTAGTTAAGAAAGGGCTCAATTCTATTATGATGACAAATAACGTCATCAAAGAGTTATCTGGCTCTCGTTTTCACACAGGAGCTGTCAGCGGCAGAGATGTGTAAATCAACACCTCCAGGTATACACAGATTGCCTTTTCAAAAACAAACCAAACAAAAATACCAAACCCCAAAACAGCAAAAAGGAGACAATCTGAACTTTGTTGTTTCATTTAAATAGTTCAGTTCTTTAGGTCTCAAGGCCCAAGAACAGCAGTCTGCAAAGGATACATACTTAAAGAATAAAACTGAACTTCCACTACCAGGGAAGGTGCAGATGCCAAGTTACGTGAGTACCGTACGTCCTCACAGTAAGACTGCTAGAGGCTATCAAATCTCTGCTTCCCAACAGCTTTGATGGCTTGCTATTCTCAACACAACGAAAACTGCTTGGACCCTATAAACAGCCTTACAAAAAGAAGGCATAATCATTGCTAGAAGATAACACAAACCTTGAAGACTGAAAGAATCCTTACAAACACGCAAAATAGGCAATACATCACTTCTTGTATCAGGTGACTCGTGTGTGTTTGAGCAATTAAACCTTGGTATGTATATCTACATGAAACTCACACATACAGAATTATCAGGCGTTATTGTTGTTTTCCTTTTACACACACACACACACACACACACACAAATTACTATCGGCTTAACCAGTCTACTCAAACTCAGTGAAAAACAGTCCACAGCACACATAAAAGAAGCACTATCCAATACAGTGTTATCTTGCAAAAAAGGAGTCAGAATTCCTGAGTCTCAGAGACACTACTGTCCTCCTCCATTACTGGATTATTTATTTTTCCAAGGAGAACCTCTAGTTTTCATTTCTTCATGCTGACGAAATTTATAATAGATTGCATCCTTTAAAAAAAATTAAAACTTTTAGAAAAAAACATGCCAACCAAAGTGAATTTTTAAAGCTTGGGGGGGGGGGGGGGGAGGAGGGAATGACGAAGGATTCACTTACAAAGGAGAAGGGGGATTCACTTACAAAATAAAGGCCACCTACATGTAAAATAAGTACTGCCAGTATCCCATCATTCTGTTTAAAGGAGGGATTTAGCTTCCTGTTCTGGAAGCACTATTATGAGCAGTCATTAGAGTTGAAAAACTCCCTCTGTTTAACAATTAAAAATACTGCAAACAGGACTAACATGGAACAGCCCTTTGTTACAATCACCAAAGTGGCAAAACCAATGCAACAGTTAGGTCATGAAGTTTCCTTCAGTTAGTCACTGCAATCTATTATAACTTCTATATTTTCCCTTTTACTTTGCATATTACACAGTGTAACTTAAAATGTTATTTAAGAGCACTTCAGTCCCACAATGTAGGATTTAAGCTTGTATGAATATGTATGCATGGTTCTGCGACATTTTCAATGACTTACAAAAATACATTCAATCAAAACTTTGTATAGGGATTTTGTTTTGTTTTGGGGGTTTTTTGACCCAAAAATGAAGGAAAAGCCAAATGGTCCCATCATTAGCTAAATAATACACTCCAAGTTCTGGAAGCAATTCCAATGCAAAAGCATATTCAAGAATAACATACACTGAATTGCATACTTTCTCATTCATCTTTATCAGTAATAAAATTCTACTGCATATAATTATTCAGGCTTATAAATAATGCTAAGCAGAAAAATATTTACCTCTGTGCTACTTTTCTCAGTTTATAGAAGCATTTTTCAGTTTACAGGAGCAAAGGAAAAAAAAACCTAAAGTGCAGACTACAGGCCATGACAGGCATAGTAAATGACCAAAGGTGCAGCCAAATTTGCATTTACATCTTAAGTTACTTCGCCATCTTTCTTTCCTTGCTAGAAGTCACCCCATGTGCAACTGAAGAGCTGGTCGGTTGGTTTGTGCCACAGTACAACCTGTAACCACTGGTAAATTCTTCTTCTGTTTTGTTTTTTTTTTTTTTTAAACTAGTTGAATTGTCCATAGGTATTTCTAGGCAATAGCTTAGGTACACAAAACCTTACTCTATTAATACTTGAAATCACACAATATTGACACCTCCTCCAGAGAATGCTACTGTCCTTTTGTTGCAGTATGTGGTTGAACCACTGATGCTTGGTTGACTGTCTTTAGCAAGAGAGGTCTTCATTTCTATTTCACACGCTACAATAGCTGCATTCAGTTCCACTTGAGCTCGGTGAACGACATAAAACATGAGTCCTATGCTTATGATAATCTGTAAAAAAAACAAGAAAGAGTGTTGTAGACTACATAAACTGTAAGCATGAATACAAACCAACTGTTCGGAACAAACTAAAAAGTCACTGATGCAAAGATGCATGGAGGCACCTGTTGACTCCATGTCAAGACATCAGATAGGAGATGAACTTGACCAGTGAGTGGCTCTAAACCTACACGCTAACAACATAACAGCATATCAGAACATAGACATTACATGGACCTTAAATACTGATATAAATTGAAAATATGTTTTCTTTCTTTCCATTGACATCCAAGTACTTATTAAAAACCAATCCCTTCACTTTCTCTCTTGGCAAAAATACCTCCACAAAGAAACAACATGGTGTATTTCTGTCAGTCAAAAGGGCTCTTTTCCCATGTACCAAGTGAATAATAGATCAAAATTGTACTGGGCGTCTGCAATTTGCAAAATAGCAGACAGGGGATGATGCAGATGAAAAGAAATAAAGCTTCTTGTCCTTGCCCCTCTGGTGTGGAAGAGGGCAGAGAGCAGCATTATCACTGTGCTTCTCGGCTATCATCACTAAACAGGACTGAGCAACTTACAGCGGTCTGTATGGGAAGAACTTGGTTTCTAGACAATGGTGCGGGGGACAGAATGTTGGTGGGTGTGGGTTTTGTTTGTTTTAAGCAGGAAATATTGTCCAAAACTAGGGTTTAGTTCAGGGTTTTGCTCTTTATTTTACTACTAAGAATTTTAAACTTCCACCACAATTATTATCAGGAATAAACCAGGACAATTTTTTCTTAGAAATTACTCATTCAATGACAACAGCATGCACTGCGCTCCCCAGAGGAAGCCTCTGGTTTCAATAAAACATCAGTTAAGTTCTACAAATGAGATCCTCCTTAAGAAAAATAATAAAGTCTTCAAATAAAAATCAAGCTGTCTCATAGTGAGAGTGCCTTTGAAAGAATTGCTTTGCCTTTTTAAAGAATATTTTATGAAACTAGTCTGCAACTTTACAAGAAAAGAAACAAAACCAACAAACAAAACCCCCAAAAACACTGAACAAAGGTTGTATTGTTTACAACAGAACCTAAAGTTTTGAGTCAAACATCTGAACTTCATTATTAATTGGTAAGGCTATGTTTTCTTTGAGGACTATCACTTAAAACATCTGCTGGCATGGCATAAAAGATGTTAGAATATCCCCAAGTAAGACGATTCACAAGTACAGTCAGAGGAGAATTGTGGCAGTCTCTAGCCCAACCTGCTGCTCAGAGCAGGGTTGGCTGGACGATCAGACCAGGTTGCTCAGCACTTTTGTCTAGTCAGGTGCTGCAAACTTCCAAGGATAAAGGTTTCACCACCTCTCTTATCCCTGTGGTGAAAAAAAAAGATGTTTCTCACTAATTCAAATTATACAGTTCAAAAGCTGGCCAATGTAAGAATCAAAAGGAGACTATGGAGACAAAATTCTGAATACATAGTAAAAATCCTATTCTAAAAGCTTATCCAAATATTTAAATCTTACTGGTTTTAGAAATACTACTACCAGTAGCCTAGTTCCCTAGATGAGTAATGATGACACAATGGCTATGTTCTGATATGCTAGCTTTGTTGTTAGCATATCTAGTCTACTAGTCTGGAAATAACATTTCACAACTAAAACAAAAGATTATCAAGTAACCATTTATCTTCTCCTTGATCTATTTACCCAACATTTAAAAAGGCATTTTAATACTCATAACCCTGTTCTATGAAGCCTATAAATTAAATGTTCCATTTAAGAACACAAAAGTTGGGAAGGAAGGAGTATTAAAATGGTCCTCCTAGACTTAGTTTTACAACTTGGCATTGTTAAACATCAGCTTTACAATTGTAAAAACAGAGGAAGATAAATGACTGCAGTACCAAAGTCTGCAAAACACAGTAACTGCCAGCCAGACACAGCCTGAAGTACTGACACTGTGAGAGGCGGTTTTAGTATATAATCTGGTTCTGAAATACTCATGACCTCGATGCTTGTAATAGTCTCAGACTTAATGCTTACCCCAAAGATTTACTGACAAATTATTTCATCAGCTAAGCTTACATAAAGGTACTATATACTTCTCATGAACTTACTCACTTGAAAAATTAGGATATTCTGATGCTGGCTTTAGGAAAATATTATTTCTACAACACTTTCCATCCTGAACACCTATGCAAAATGGGGAGTGTCCAGTCCTAACAGTGACCACTGCACACATGCTGGGTCCATGCACCCTGAACATGCTACTTCACAGCTGGTGGCACGCAGGCTTTTGTGTAGCAGGGAACTGACACAACTAAAATCCATCAGGAGATTACCACAGAGGGCAAAAGAAGAAAATTTGACAAAACTGTGGCAGAAAAGAGAACACTGAGTAAGTTCTGCTTGCATCATATGAGGTAAGAGAGAATTAAACTTTGCTAACAGAACAAAATCAAAAGAAAACAGTACACTGGAAACTAGTATCTCTGGGTATCTAGCAGTCAATAAGGCTGGGAAAAAAAGAAACATCAGCTCAGTTTTACACAATCCACTGAAAATACCAAAACCAGTTATAAACACTTTTTAATATCCACTACTTTTCAATACCACATGCCATATTCACTTGGCTCAGCCTGTACAAGGTCGGTTATGTCAGACTAGGGATCTGTTATGCTAACAGAGAACAGTTCTTAACCCCCAAGACATGCATTCCCCCCAGACACCTTTTACCTGAGGATGTACAATGTGAAAGACAAATCTCTGTGTCTCACACATTCCTATATGCATTCCAAATGACTTGAGACAAAGCTACAGGAAGGAAACTTGTCTACTGTCTCCAGAAGAAAAGTTCTGCTTTGAATCCCACTGGTACAGTAGATGGGTGAGAAATCAACGCAGATACAGAAAAAAAAACTCAAAAAGATGATTGTTTCCAAGAGTAACTGCTTACCCAAGGAGTCGTAAAGAAACTGACATTATTGGTACCAAGGTCTATGAAAGCTATTCTTTTAACTTACCTGTAAACTGAATATAAAATAGCCACTAACACTTTGTTCTGCAATCACATCCTCCATGGTGCGCAAGGTAGTGCCCAAGTATGAGTTCAGGAGCTGAGTAGGAAGCAGTCCAACTGAGGAAGCCATCAGGTAGTTGGGTAGTGACAAATCTGTAATCTGAGTAAAAGAGAGCATAAGAAATGGAGCATAGTCCTAACACAGTCTATGTGCACAAACAGCCAGACTGCCACTCCCATGCAAAATAATGAAAGAATTTCTTACATTCCTTCACTGAAAGTTTCTACTGTGTGTGAATCAAAACAGTACAGGGCTGGTTTTCATCCAGTCTTTCAAAAGTTCTTAGGTTTTATTTTGTTTTACCTTACTGTACACAACATCTCTGTGCAATAGTCATTAACTAAAGATGCAATTTCACTGTTCATTCAAGATGTTCATTTCTTCATGGTGAACAGAGCCCTACAATTTATGAGAATTTGATTGCAGGAAGAAATTACCAAATGTGAAGGACTAAAGCAAAAACCTATTTGCTTTGCATTTTACACGTATGGCAACTGATAAGAGGCAATTGTTTAAAATGTTTTTGTATTAAATATCTAGGTAAACAGAATGGCAGATACAATTGGCCTCTGCAAAGGAAGTTATATATCTCATTCAGATACATGTAACTGTCAGTGATCTCCATCAGTGATATTTATCTGTATCTACCCTGAGATATATGGGTATCATTAAGAATCTCTACCCAAGATGTTTTACATCACACTTTCATTACATAGTACACAGTTACAGCTTTTAATTTATCTGGAAAAAAACAGTAACAATACGTCAAAATATTTTCCCCTCTTTGCTGAAATTTCTGTTCTCAGCCAATATGTGGACAGTTTACATGGGAACAAAATATACAGCACTAGCTAAATTAGTATCAGCAGCCATTAGGAAATAGTAAATGAAAGAGCCAAGAGGCCAAAGGATATTTACTCAGGAAAACAGAAACAGGAGAAAACTACAGGTTAAAAATGCGTACAGAAAGGGTGATTCTGAAAGAAGCAGGCTAAGGAATTTTCCAGACAATTCAGTTGATCACATAGGCATAAAACAAGTTCTAATTAAGAACAGCCCCTAACACTGGGAGCCTACACAGAAATTACTGACCTTGAGAGTTCTGTACAATGTCGAAGACAAGAGAATAGCAGCAAAGTTACACATTTCATCATGCTATTCTTAAAATAAGCTTTAGTTACTATGAAAGTCACAGTGCTGAATTCTCAAAGCTCTAAGCAGCATCAGTGGAAAGTTTTTAGGAGGAAGGAAGGGCAATGGAGGAGGCAAATGCACTGAAGCATAAAGATTGATTCACTGGAACAAGATCCAGTAACTCAAATCAAAACTTCATGCTGCAAATTATTCTTCCCACAGACTGAAATACACACCAGCACCACAAAAAATACAGTTCCTCTATACACAAGATTAATTTAGGTTTATAATGAAAAAGCTCTACACAACTCATAGAACCATGGAATGCTTAGACCTTAAAGGTCATCTAGTTCCAACCCCTTGCCATGGGCAGGGACACCTTACACTTAGACCAGGTTGCTCAAAGCCCCATCCAACCTGGCCTTTAACACTGCCAGGGAAGAGGCATCCGCAATTTTCTGGGCAACCTGTTACAATGCCTCACCACTCTCACAGTAAAGAATTTCTTCCTCATATCTAATCTAAATCTATCCTCCTTAAATTTAAAGCCACTACACTTTGTCTTATCCCTGCATGCCCTTGTAAAAAGTCCCTCTCCAATTATGTCAGAACTTCACATTTGACCAATGCTTTGAAACCTTGTTTCCCCCTGAACATAATAGTAATCTGGGCCATGCAGTAAAAATGCACAATGAAAATTTAACATATTGCCAAAGGAATGAAGGAGCTGCTACTAAAAGTCTCTGAAATACTAATGCTGAGACAAGATTTGCTAAGTAGGGCAGTCATTACATGTAACGGAGATGAGAAACTTCCCAAAGATTGTTTTAATGCTCCCAGGCACTTCTCTCATTTCTGTACATACATTAAGGACACTTCGGTTGCAGAGCAACACATATGCACACCTGGATTTGTCCTGAAGCAACTGGACCTCCTGAGTCATGAGAGGCTCCAAGCGAGAGGCTGCCAATGAACACACTGAACTGCAACCTGTGCTTCCATTAAAATGAAAGCTAGGGAAAGCAGGGTGGAATCTTGCAGGTGCCCTTTTAACCCCTGGTTTGCAAGGCTTAGACCTACAGTGGTATTCCTTCCCCCAGGAGGCACAAGAAGTGGACAGTGTCCCTGCCTAAGAAAGCAGAGAAATCTGCAATAGAACTTACAGCTTTCCATTTCTTTCCTTTTACGAACTTGACCTATTCTACAAACCTGCTAGACTGGGGTCTGTGTGGCCAGACAAACACAGCTTCTGATAAACAGAAGCTACCAGAACTCCATTTCTAGTGAAAGCTCAAGACAGCAAAAATTAACAGTGAATTCCCAAAGCATGCATGGATATAATTGTGTTATGGGCCTAACTGACGTATTTAAATGAAATTAAGAACTACCTAACTGCTCTGGTAACAAGATTATTAGCCAGAAAATCTCCCAGTAAGCCTTGGACAGGCTTTGTCTGGTAGAATTTCTGTGTAGTCTTTGCAGCTCACAACTTTGGTTCTGTACTATCAAAGAATAAATGCTTGTGTCAGGACTTTGTTGGGGGTTTCACATGCCTTTAGGGACTGCAGTAGATTTCTCTCCACTCAACTTACAAATCTGTGTATTTCAGATCCGGCAGGCCTAGCAACCGAGAGCAAAGGACAGTGTTGATGCTCTTTTATTTCCTTGGGGTGGGGGGTGAGGTTTGAGGTGCTGTGAGGGGGGGGGAAGAATAAAACCTGCAATGCCACCAAGTAGTAAATAAAAAACAAGACAAAAAATAGCTATCAACTTTTCAAGAAGCAGAGTAAGCAGCCTGCCTGTTCTTGCAAAGCAGGTACCATTTCTTCACATCTGATTTCACGCTGTGCATTTCTGCAACCGGAGATGCTCACTTGGACACTCTAGATTTCTTTTTAGCCAAATTATTTCATACACATGATACTCCTCTCAAAGAGGAGAAGAAATATAAATGCTGATCTAACCTACACCTGGCACTACAAATAATCAGTTTGCACAAACCTCGCTCCAGGGACCTACTAGTAGGAAGGAGGTGATAACCTGCATACCAGGGCTCCTTACAGACCTGCCTTCAAAACACTCAAGAGCTGCCAAGGGAAGACGGGTGGGCAAACACTCCAGTAACAGCTATCAGCCCACCCCAGCAACTGAAGCCAACCTGGCACCACAGGAGCAACAATTAAGCAAAACCCACTCAAAGAGAAATATGAACATGCTTTCAGTTAACAAGTTTCTAGGTCTTCATAAAGGCAAGTAAATGCATTACCCCACTGCTCCTACTATCAGCACCTTCCCAAAGAGCAGCAGAATGAACTTAAGAAACAAGACGCTCATGTCTGGCTGGTGAAAGACTAAGGAACCTGTGTTAATTTTCCTCTTGTGCTGCCAAATAATATAATCCCATCACTTGCCGAATGCTAGGAAGCTCTTCCTCCCTACTGTATACTCCCTGGCAATTCAACCTCCTCAATCCCCTCAGCAGGTGGTACACACCACTGAACAAGTGCTTGTGGAAATCCATCAAGTAATCCCAGCCCTGCAGATGACCACTCCCACATCAAAGTTATGTTTTGCCCTGGACTTCATGTGTCACTTCCTCCCTTCCCTCTCATTTAAGCATTCTCAGTATCTCCTGTTTACTTATACATATGCACACAGACCAGACTGCTGGAAAATTAAAGACACATAGGTTTTCTTAAGGTCACTGGTCTCTTCTCCATTATTAAGAGCAATCCTTTTCAAATTCATTGCTAAAGCTGCTAGGACAGGGAATGGATAAATGGTTAGGGCACCCCAAAACCCCTTGCAATTTTAACTTTTCAAATAAATCAGATTTCAAAGAAATTAACAACTTGACCCACGTAGGTAGAATTTTGTATCATATACATAGTTTACACTTGACTAACAGCAAGAAACTGCCCTGAATTCCCAGATTTGCATGCAACATCTTTAATTTTCAGTAATCTAGCAGTTCATATTAAACGTTCTCAGTTAAAATTTAAACACACCGTGCTTTATTTGACTATGCTGTGCAGTAGTAAATCCAGAGTAATAAACATAACCCAAATTAGTTTTAGCAGGCAATATCCAAGTTACTTGGCATATCAAGAATCTGGTTTCATCTCATTTCCTATCTGTTATTTTAACACTGAAACCTTCCCCTTGGAAAGAAAATTATTTAGCTTGCAGTACAGAGAGAATACAAAATGCTGATTTACAGCATCATTTTAATATTGCACTGGCCTGAATACTCTGCTCAATTGTGTTTCCAACCAAATGGTTTGCAATGAAGGAAATCTTTTTAACCCAGTAATTCTCTGGCCAGTTCTCGAGATTCAATACTACTCTACATCTGCTGACTACTTCAAGTGACACCCAGAAGCTGTGAACAACTGGAGCACAACAGCTCTCCCCACTTTAGGAGGGTCACACTACAGCAGAAGCCTCATCTGCAACACTGGGACCTTGAGTTCCGGCAGGACTCTGCTCCCAGCTGCATGGGTCTAAGCTTCCTCAGTCCTGCAGTAATATAAGAAAATAAATAAAATGGCAGAGTTTCTTCTCAATTACAAGGAAATAGTTAAATGACCTGCTTAAAAAGAAATTATAAATTGCTACAGTTTTCATGGACAGAGACTGCAGCTCTTGAGATGAATGCCTCAGCATACATAGCTTTATATATAGCAACTTTAAATATTTGATGGGGGTGTTAACCCCTAAAAATTGTGTGGATTTTTTCTTAAATAAAAAATTTGGTATTCAGTGATCTATGCATTTCAATCAGATGATTTTGTCAGAATTAAGCAAGCACTTCAGAAGGGTACAGGACCAGGACTGCAGAAGGGGGGAAGGAAAGTGTACTGTAACAAAGTGGCAGACCAAACCACTTTTTTAGAGGGTCTCTTACACTAAAGAACCTATGAGTTCCTGTTAAATGCTTAAAATATTTCACCATCTGGTTTGCTTTGTTTTGATTCCACAGAGTTAGCAGACACAACTAAGGCGTAACACACAGCCAAAACCAAAACCTTCAGACAAAGCACTCACGAAGAGATGAGGGTCTGAAATTGTCATCGTCAGCATGATGGTACTCAAAAAGGGGACCCTCCATACTCTACTTTCTCCTTTAAGATGACCAAAGAGAACAGTAAGATTGTAAGTTTTACATGGCTGCTCTTAAAGAGCACACCGTCATTTTAAAGTAGAAAGAAAAGCCAGAATAACCCCCTGTCAAACTCAAAGTTTAAACCAACTTTCAATACCACTGTGGTGTACAGTCTCTTTTCAGCTCTGAGGCTACATCTTCCTGTTTTGCCCAAGATATGCGGCCTCTCTGATGTGCACGGACCTACCACGTTACGGATTTGCCAGATGTATGCTACAAACACCAAGCAGAGGAGGAATTTTGTCAATTTCTTTCTTTCCAATATAATTACTTTTATTAAGTAGTTCAGAAAGATCTGACATGACCACTTAAAAATACAACTTTCCCTCCCACTCCAATCACTTTGAAAACACACACTTAAAAACTGCTGTGTTCTCCACAGATTTTGCTAACCAGCACATTGGTGCTTCTTTCCATCATTAGAATATAGTCTTGAAACATAGACAGCAGCTCTAACACAATGACACCGAACAAGGCACCTTGAAAACCTGACATCCCTCCACAAGGACAGAAGAGCCACTAGCAAAGGCAGGCAAGGGAATATTACTTTTAATGCTGTTAGAAAAGAAAGAAACCAAGGTTTCTTCCCGGGAAAGAGGGCAACTTCCACCACTGACACCGGTCGCTATGGTGCAAGCCATCCTTCCAGCCAGAGCTTTTTCCTTGGCCACACGGGAACTCACCGCGAAGACAGCATTCTGCAGCCCAAAGGGGATCGGGGTCAGCCGTGCCAGAGCCACCACCTTGAGGCCACTGCCGCCCTCCACGACGCGGACGATGGCACTGAGAGTCTCGCTGCCCTGGATCCTGGCCCTCGCCCAGTGGGCCAACAGCCGCTTGCAGGCCACATGGGCGACAAAAGTGCCCACAAGGACGCCGAGCACCATCAGCCCCATGCCCAGCCAGAAGCCATAGAGGTAGCTGGCGGCCACGTTGAGAAGGATGTAGCCCCAGCCGCAGGGGAAGGACACGATGATGAAGCCCACGGTGAAGAGCAGCACACCTGCCAGGCTGTCCAGGCTCTCGGCCCAGAGCACCAGGTCTCGCAGGTACTGGCGCACCAGGGCCAGCGAGGCGAAGCAGAGGGCTGCCAGAACGCACACGCTGAGGCAGCTCTTGCACCAGCAGGTGCCCAGGAGGCAGCAGGAGCAGCGCCAGCCCCGGGCCTCGGCCAGCCCGGACCCGCCGCCGCCCTCCTCGGGCAGCTGGCAGAGCAGCAGCTCCGCCGGCGGCAGCCCGCCCTGCTCCACGTATGGCCGGAGCAGCAGCCCCTCAGCCCCCGCTGCCTCTGCTGGGACGAAGCCGACAGTACCCCCGCCGCCGCCTCCTGCCGCTGTCCCAGCGGCTCGGGACAGCCAGCGGCCCAGGTCCTGCCGGGCCCCCTGCGCCGCCGCCTGCTTCACGGCCCGGGAGAGCAGCTGCAGCGCCGCCGTCCCCGCGCCCCACATGCCCCCGCCCCGCCGCCCGGCTCTACCGCGGCGGAGCCGCCCAGCCCCGTCGCTTCCCGCCTCCGCAGGCAGCCAGCGGCCGGGGGCGGCTGCTCCCTCATCGCCCCGCCATGGCCCGGCTGCCGGCGGCGGAGCCCAGCCGAGGGCCGGGCGGGGGCGGAGAAGCGGCAGCGGGGCGGGCGGAGAGGTGGGGGCCGCGCTTCGCCGCCGCCGCCGCGCGGGCCCGGCAAGCGGACTGTCCGCGGCGGCCTCCGAGCTGCCTCCCCCCTGAGTTAGACAGCAGCGGCAGCGCCGCGCTCTCCGTCCCGGCAGTGGCAGCGGCGGCCCTGGCGGAGCGCGAGTCCCGGGGGGCGGCAGCGGCGGCAGCAGCGGAGCTCCATCTCCCGGCGCTCTGGTCTCCCGCTCTGCGAAACGCGCTCTCGGAGCGGCGATGCCGATGTGGCAGCCCGGGCGCCGCTCGCAGCGGAGGGGGAGGAGGCTCCACTCCAGCGGTAACACAGCCCAGCCCCGCTGCGGGGCTCGGGGGCAGCGCCGTGGCCCGCCCCCCGCTCCGCTCCGCCCCGCGCCGGGTGTGCCTGCGCGGGCCTCTCTCCTTGCCCGAAAGAGCGAGGCTATGGTGGGTTTGGTGGTCCTCTGTCTTGTTCTCGGTAGCCTTCGTTCCGAGCCGCGGGCAGCAGCGAGGAGAGGGACCGGTCTGGGAAGCCGGAGATTTATGTCAGAGGAGGGGGTAGCTGAAGCGCTTCTGAGTAGCTGCTCGCATCGCGGTGGGTTGACCCACCCGACGGCTTAGCTCACATGCCTGGAGGCTCAGGCACTCTTTCGGACAGTTTGAGCTTGAATTTTGAGCCATTGCTAGAATGAAACAGCCTGAATACGGGAGATTAGTTCACAGGGGGCCTTTCTCTGAAGCTTCGCCGAGCCTCGGCAGCTTCATAGGTGGCTGTTGCTCTGGCGTTAACTAATGACAGAAGCTGTATAGTGCAGAAAGGGTTTTGTTTCTTTCACAACACTTAAACGTACCATGCGTTCCAGTGTAGTTACATTCCTCCACTAGGAAATTTGCATGCATATATAAAACAAGTGTGGGAGCTGTAAAGGTTAAAGAGTGATTGGAAAAAAATGAAGAGCATATCTCGGGTATATTACAGATACATTCACTTGACAAAGACACCATTTAGAAATGGCATAACCTGAGTAGTCCAACAAAACAGCCTAAGAAAATAACAGATGTCTTTGAGTACCAGAACAGAATAAAACAATCCTGGGAGACACTGTACAACAGGGACCTGCAGATAAATATCTCCAGCATAATCTGCTTTCTTGCTGTCACTTGTATCCCAGTGTGAGCATTTGGTTTTGTGTGTGCTCCTTCCTTACAATGCAAACACAGGGCATACATCCGACAATAATAATATTCTTGTAATAATGCCCCACATTGTGGGTTGTAAAGGGTGGTTGGCATGCTTGTACATTCAGTAAGGCATTTCAGCAAACTGGGGATGGCTGGAAGTTTAGTAGAAAAATGAGGCAAAATATTCTGGTTTTATATTAAGAGCGTGTATGTCTTTGATGTGGTTTCAGCTTGTGTGTATTTTTGTTCAGTGCAGTTGCTTTCACCAAATATGAAAAAGCCTGAGTGGAAATGTCTATCAGAGTTCCACACTTCACACTGCCCCTACATTTCTGTATTTAAAGTGTATAACCTTTTTGGAATGAATTGCCTGCTGTTGCTCCTAAAAGCCTCGGGGTTCTGTATTTGTAATCACAGAAAACATACTTGCAAGAGGAACATCATAGTCTATCTAACTGACGGTCCTGAGATTACACTCCAGACTATAAAAACATTTTAACTAGTTAGCTGGTGGACATGCTTTTCTAATCTCTAAGAGTACGCAGGCTGAAACTTCTTGATCTCATCCATCCCTAAAATATCCCTAGGTTCCCTTAAAAATCTCTAGGTTCCCCTAAAATAGCTAATCCTGGCATTGTACAGATCTCTAGAGCAATAGCTCAGGGAGGAAAAACAACAGGCAGTCAGATTTAGAGTAATGCGGAGTAAGAGATGAAGCATCTTTGGATAAACATCCAAGAGAGGCCACAGGAATTCAGCAGGACTGGGGTGGAGCTGGGAGCCTTTCCCTTACACATAGCAGATACAGCTACAGAGCTGAGAGCAGTGTCAGCTGGCTCCTGTGAGCCTTCCCAATGCGCTCTTACCATCTCAAGGGGAAAAAAAACAACCTCACAACATCCTTGAAAATGTGCCAAATTGGCACACTGCTGGACAAAATGCTGGACTAAATGGTTCACCTTTCACCCTTACTAGTCAGTGATTGATAATATATTCCCGTACTATGTGTGATGCGGTTGCAATAGTTTGATGATATAATCAAGGCAAGATCTGTAAGGAAAAGCAGTTATCTTCTCCTAGACCAATCACTACACTTAGAAAAACAGACAAGCTCTTGAGTACATAGCTCCTGGAGAAACATTTTGTGCTCCAAAAGATAGCACTGATTTTTATTTGTTGGCTTTTATTTTTTTTTCCTCAGGTAGGTTAGTTGAGTTGATTTAGTGACTAAACTCCAACAAATGTTGTCTAACCTGTTCTGTAAAAAAGCACTTGCTGCCTTGGTTAGCTTCAGAAATTATTTGAAGCAATGGAGATAAAAATTACAGGTCTAGTACATATGGGTTTAAATGGTTATATCGACTAAAACTGCTCCTGAGTTATCTAGTTTCTCATTAAACTCATCTGTCATTTGAACTAATTTCTTACCTCTCTTTATATATAATTTTGGTATTTGCCAATAAACCAATGTAAAACCTGAGAAGCACAGGGTAACAGCCAGAGGACTCTTCTGCTTCAAGAAAAGGCGTTTCTATAGAAAGATGCTCTCATAATAACATAGATTGTTGTGAATATTGAAGAACTTTTGCCATGTGGTGGTTTCTTCCAGGTCTGTGTTTTAGGTCCAGGATATTTCCTTGACCTAGTGTGAGCAACTGTGTTTTGAAACTCTGCTTCTCCTGTCTCATTTTTTATTTCAAAGAATATTGCATGCAAACACACCCAACTAACTGTGTGGGTCATCTTACTGAAATGAAAGACATGACTCATGTAGGCCCATGCAACTGGTCTGTTAGAAAAAGACTGAAACTTTACGTTAAAATGATTATATAGAACAATAGAAATGACTATATTTGAAAAGTTTTCGAATCAATAGTAGACTTCTGTATATTAAAAGAATGTTGTAACTTTGCTGTGGTAGCCTCAGCAGTAGAAACTAATGTAACAACAAGGACACAGAATGCCTGGCCTAAGACCTTGTAGTTTAGAACGGGGAAGCTTTGTCTAACTGTGCGTCTTGATAATACAGACGTTCATAATTTTTGTATTGCTTACAAGGAAGCTTTGTCTAGAAATGGAAACCATGTCTCTTAAGCAGCAGAAAATTTCATCTGCAATATTGGTAGCTTTGTGAAATCATTGCAACATAAAAGGACAAGCCAAGCGAGGAAGTGAGAACGCTGATATCCATATAATGGTTGGGGCCTGTCCAAAGAACAGAAAGGTGAAAAGAATAAGGGGAGGAAGACTTCTTACTTCATCTGAGGAAGACTCCTTACTTCATCGGCACGACCACCAGAGGGGGCTGCGCAAGCGCAGAAGAGGCTGATGTCGTAATGGACTAATAAAGTAATCCTTGATGCATATGTATTAGTTACGAATTTTTAGCGTATAAATTGCGAACACGATGTGACGAGGTCGAAGCCAGATTTGGGCACGTGCCCCTGGTTTCCCAGCGCTGCAATAAAGCAACTCATATAACCATTCCGGTGGTTATGTGTCAGTTCTTACGCTAACAGGTCCACACTCCAGGGGTCATGAAGCAAGAGTAGGATACATTGGACCTGTTGGATCAAGTCCAGAGGAGGGCCATGGGAATGATCAGAGGGCTGTAGCACCTCTCCTATGAATACAGGCTAGAGAGTTGGACTCAGCCTGGAGAAGAGAAGGCTCCGTGGAGTTCTTAGAGCAGTCTTCCACTACCTGTAGGAGGTCTACAAGGAAGATGGAGCGGGACTTTTTACAAGGGCATGTAGGGATAGGTCAGAGTGTAATGGCTTTAGTCTTAAGGAGGATAGATTTAGATAAGATGTAAGAAATTCCTTACTGTGAGGGTGGTGAGGCACTGGCACAGGTTGCCCAGAGAAGTTATGGATGCCTCATCCCTGGAAGTATTGAAGGCCAGGTTGTACAGGGAATTGAGCAACCTGGTCTAGTTAAAGGTCTCCCTGCCTACAGCAGGACAGGCTGGAACTAGATGACCTTTAAGGTTTCTTCAACCTTGCAGTAGTTCTGTGATTAAGCCACAAATCAGGAGCCAAAATATTCTGCAAGGTTCTGTAAATTTGCCTTACTCATTTCTGAATTGCTCTTTGAGAGGAAGAAGCAGGACTTTTTTGAGAAGATGATGTTAAAGGCTGTTACTCCAAGGTATTTCTAGATGCTTGTGCTGTTTAATTCTGTCAGCATTAATGTGAAGGTCCTTTGGTGGGAACTGCAACATTGACTGGTTTTGTCAGGAGTAACCATTCTTTGGCCACAGCAGGCTGTCACTAGAAGTACTTTCATCTTATCTGCAGCAGTACTCCTTGTCATACATTCCTTTACATCCACATGAAGAAAGGTAAATACACTTTGTTCATGCAGGAAGTATACTTTTTGCTGTTTAACACAGAATGAGTTGCAAGCATTTGGGGGAAGATATTAGCAAGGAGCAAGCCATGACCAGAGAAATTACTCTGGTAGATCATAATAATGGCTGGAGAAATTACTCTGGTAGTGGTGCCAGGGCCTGAGCACCACGATTTGGGTAGTTATTTTAAACATGTGTTAATTCACAGTTTAATCAAAGTGAATGAGAAGTATGCTGAAGGAAAATAATCTATCAGGTAGCTTTATATGAGATTGGTTAAATTCCCAGTGAAAGGTGGTAGTTCTGAATTTGCTGTTTCAGAAACGGGAGGTGTAAGAAATGGCACTACTAGCAATTTAGGATTGCTTCAGTGTTTTAATTTTTTGGACAAATATCAATCAAGATGGAGCAAAGCTTGCATTGCTTTCACCCGGAACTATCTAGATTATAAAAGATCTTTAAATAAAAGATGCAATTGTAAAAAAAAGGACATGTCCTTTATTGAGTCTCAATAAATATCTCCATTGAAAAGTACTAGAAGTCTTAGGGTGGGAATCCAGACAGTGTTATTTTGCAGCTTGATTCATTAGGTGTCTACATATAGGACTAGAAACTTCATTACTTTCTTTATAGTCGCAGCCTCCCAGATAAGAGCCATACAATCATGCTAAAAACATTGAATTTTATATACTATCATAAATTCGCATAATTCAGAATATGAATGTGTTTATGTTCATACATGTTTATACATAAAAAAATATGGTTTAATACATAATTTTACAAGAACCATGTCAAGCACATTTTATTTAAAGCTGTATGTAAGGCATGAACAGAAATTAAATACAATAAGCAATGTGCTGAAATATTTACATTAAAGGGAAGATTCTGAGACATCACTCTGCCATTAGTTATTATACAAATAGTGACACATCTAAAACAAGTCCATTTCAGTAGAACTGAGGATTTATGATGTCTTGCATGATATTCCTTAGAGTTGTCCTAGCCCAGAAACAGCAAATGAGAAACCTTAATCGTCCCTATAAAATACAGCTATATATTTGGTATTTCTGCAGCTGCTTAGAACTGTTGCAGTCATGGAAAATTTAAGCTAATTCGTCTTAAAGACTCACATGGGATTCTTCCTTGC